CGCCCTGTTGCCCATCTGCTCATCTGGGAGTAAGCCGTTGATTTCCGCGGCTTGAGTGACCTTCCTGGCCACTACCGATTCTATTACCTTCCCCAAAGTCGGTAGTAGAGCAATGGGCCTGTAGCCTGCCGGCGTCTGATATACCAGCGGAGCCTTTCCCGGCTTTGGTAGCACTACGGTCTTTGCTCTTTTGCACCAGCTCGGAAACCAACCCAGCTCAAGACATCTTGTGGCCAGGATGGCAAGCACCTTAGCTAGCGGCTTCCCACAGGCTTTCAGGAGGCCCATGGGGAGCTGGTCCTCACCCGGTGCCTTCCAAGGGCCCGCATCCCTTATCGCCTCCGCTACTTCGGCCAGCGTCACCTTCTGCTCGACATGGAATCCCGGCTCCCAGTCGTCGAGGAAATCTTGGTCCTGGACGTCGGCGAGGTTTGCTGGAGGGCTTGGGAAGAACTTCTTAGCCAGAGCCTCAGCCTTCTGGTCATGATCTGCGGCCACCACTTGTCCTGAAGCGTCTATGAACGCTGGCAGCCTCGGGGGTTCTGGTGGTAAGAAGCTCCGCAGTCTAGCCCACCTTTCCAAGGCCCACATCTTGTCCGGCTTCTTCGCTTCGCTTGCCTCTTGCACCCCGTTCCTCCAAGTTCTCGTTTGGGCTTCCTGGATTATTCTGGCGCGCTCCTTCAGTCTCTCTTTGAGCTCCTCCCGGTAATAGTCTGTGCGGGCTTCTTTCGCCAGTCTCTCGCCTTGAAGTCCCTAGATTCGCAATCCCTACGAACGTGCTACCTAAGCTAACTACATAGCGAAGATCCGCCTCAAGGGGGTATCTAGTCAAAGAGGCGAGGCCGAACCTCTCTACCGGGCTCTCTGCGGCTTACGGCCTTTCGTTGTCGTTGGGCGTGCACAGAGAACCACGGAACCCCAAGGTTTGCACCTTAAGCCCTCCGCAACAGGTACTACTACATAGAGCTCCGTAGGCGACACCACAGCGACCGCACAGCGGCCAGGGCCCGGGTGCGAGCCGGGTACTCGGCATCTATGTAGTTTCCTCTCTCTTAGATGACCGACACGCGCGTCCGTCCTCTCCGGCCAGC